CGTTTCTGTAGTCTATAAAATTTTTGTTTTTTTTTTCTAAAACTTCACCAAACACTTTCTCTTTCTCTCTCATTTTGCATAAAATCAAAAGATAGAAAAAATCTCAATTTTTTTTGCATTTTAAAAAAGATGGTAAAATCTCAATTTGGGACTAAAACCTTGGCTTAACGCCCTTGGAAAAATGCAAATTTTGGAGCTTTTTTAATTCGATGTCTAAAAAGTCTTCATTTTCTTTCTAGAACTTCACCAAAAACTTTCCTTGATGCCTTTTGCATTAAAACAATAGTAGGAAAAATGTCAACTTTTTAAGAAAAACCAAGGACTAACGCGTTTTTTAAAAAATTCCAACTTTGGAGCTTTTTTAAATAGACGTTTTTATAGTCTAAAAAGGCTTCGTTTTCTTTCTAAAATGTATCCTTTGGAAAAATGCAATTTGGTAGCTTTTTTAAGTCGATCATTTTATAGTGTAAAAAGTCTTTATTCTCTTTCTAAAACTTCACCAAACACTTCTCTTCGAATTGTTTTGTATCAAAAGAAAAGATGGAAAATCCTTGAATTTTGACTAAAACCTTGGTCTAACCCGTTTGAAAAATTTTTGGACTAAAACCATGAACTAACCCCTTGGGAAAATGAAAATTTTGCGGCTGTTTTAAATCGATGTTTTTGTAGTCTAAAAAGGTTTTCATTTTATTTTTAGAACTTCTCCATGGACTTTTTTTCGATTCATTTTGCATAATAACAGTAGTTCGAAAAAATGTCAATTTTTTGACAAAAACTATGGACTAACTTCTTTGGAAAAATGCGAATTTTGGAGCGTTTTTAATTTGATGTTTTTATAGTCTAAAAGGTCTTCATTTTCTTTCTTGAACTTCATCAAACAGTTTCTCTGGATTTTTTTTGTTCTCACCATGCAAATAAAAACGTGACATATAGTCCCATTGTTCTCTAACCTTAAAAAAAATAGTCCGCAGTCAGTCTGCAGTCTGCATTAATGAGGCTGAGTATCATCAGAAGAATTCTGGAGATCGAGGACGGTGTTATCCGCCGAGTACGGCCTCGGTGGAAAACATCCTTCGAGATCTCCATAATTTTTCAGATGATACGAAAGCTGAATTCAATAATTGTTTTATTATTCATTCAAAACAATTCCTAGTTCAAAAACAAACTCAACAATGCTTACCTCAGTCGATGTTAAGTTTATCTCAGTAGGGCATGTTTATCGGGAAGTTTAGAGGATAAAGGGTTGGTTGTACAGGTCTGCAAATATACTCCAAATAGCAGATCTCGTAGGTCGAGTTGCCTTCTTGCTATTCTTGCTATGTTTTTAGACAAAAGGCGGCTGTAAAACGAGTAAAATTTATGTTCTGCCAAATTGTACTCACTACCAAAACAATTCAAACTCGTCCCAGGTCTTCTTGGTTAACGGTTCAATATATCTGTTAATTTCAGTGCCGCACGATTGACGTCATCAGTTCAATATCGCCATGTTACATAACATAACATAACATAAAACTTTATTTAAACTCGAATTTTAGAGTAGCTAACAAGCTAATATCTTCGAGCTGACACTACATAAAAACTATATAGAAAATACATATATACATTAAATGCAAGGAAAGAAGATATCATTTACAATTCACAATTTTAAGTTTAAGTATGTGAGGCAAAAAGAATCTACATGAAGGTAACATCCTGTATTTTAGTCTTAAAGTCTGCAAAAAAACTGGTACGAAAAAAGTCCGGCAGTGCATTCCACTGCTTAGCTGAAAAGTAAGAAAAGGAGTTAAGACCATAGGTAGTTGTTTTAGGTTTACTTAGTGAAAGAATGTAGTTGCCACGAAGATCATAGGAAGAGGACCGGAGTGAAAACATATTCTTCATATAAGTAGGAAAATGAGTGAAAAACAAACTCTTATATAACAGAATGAGGAAATTTTGAATGCGTTTGTTAAACAAAGAAGTAGAGCTGACTTTTGAGAGAAGAGTGTTGTATGGAGACGAGTAATCTCCAAGTATAAATCTAAGTATTCTTTTATTTAAAGCTTCGAGCTTATCCGCATCGCGCGCTCCACAAAAGTGCCAGACAGAGGAGCAATAATAAAAGTGAGGTAAAATATACGCTTTGTAAAGTTTGAATAAGATTTCCTTGCGTATGAGTTTTCTAAAGCGCAACATAACATTAAATTGATTATTAATCTTTTTGCATACATTTGATATATGTTTAGAAAAATTCAGATTATTATCTATTTCCATTCCAAAAATCTCTAACGTGTCCTTTACTGGGAAGGAAAAACCATACTCCGTATCACCGAGGATTAGACACTGGTGCTTGCTCTCATTAACTAACATCCCATTTTCATGGTACCACTGATTGGCCACGCCAACATCATGAGATACGCATGCATCCAGAGCTGCCGGATCGACGTGGGAGTAGTATACCTGATGATCATCCGCATAAGCGTTCAACTTGGCCTTCTTGACGTGGAAGAAAAGATCGTTTATGAAAATGTTGAATAGCATGGGACCTAACACACTCCCCTGCGGGACCCCACGCTTGACGCTTTCCCAGGTCGAAAAGGTGTCTCCAACTTTAACTCTCTGAGTTCTGCTAGAGAGATAGTTCCTAATTAGGGCACAACTTTTGTCGTCCATACCATAGGCCCTCAGTTTCGAAAGGAGGAGTGGATACTGAATAACATCAAACGCTTTGGAGAGATCCATAGAAACTACCGCAACAAGCTCCCCCCTGTCACGCATCATTCTCCAGTCCTCGGTCAACCCTAGCAAAGAGGTCTCGCAACTATAAAACTTTCTATAAGCGCTTATGAAGTCTGATAAGACCCCATTGTAAAATTCATACATCTGCCCCGATAGAAGCCTTTCAAAAATATTGTTTAGAGCAGGGAGCACAGTTACGGGCCTATAGTTGATCTTACAAAACTCGTCGTCTTTTTTGTACAGAGGAGTAACCATGCCCATCTTCCAGCTAGCAGGATAACAGCAATGTTCAATGCAACAGTTTATTATACTTGTTATAGGCCGCGCAATAACAGCTGCCGCTTCTTTAATCAACTTTGGTGGGATCATATCGTGACCAGGTGACTTACGTACATTGATCTCTTTTAGTAATAGCTCAACCTGGGTTTCACTTGCGCGATGAAAACTGAAGCAAGCTGGAGCACTAGAACCCCTGTGTTCATGGATTGCTTTGATGCTGGGATGATTTGCATAATCCTCACCGTAATCCTCTGCTCGTATTTCAGGCATGCTGTCAGCAATGTGAACAAAGTAGTCATTAAGCAGATGGGCAATCTCCTTTTTGTCACTAATAATCCTGTCATTTTCTTTCAAGATAATGTCATTGGCTTGCTTACTTTTAGTATGCAAAAAGGGCGGAAAAGTAGACCAGAATTCGCGCGGGTGTTCGGTGTCTGCTGTTTTCCTCGCGAAGTGTTGTTTTATTGCTTTTCGCCTAAGAGAGGTGCAGGTATTACGTTGAGTTTTGTATGCCTCGTAATTTGCATCAGTACGATTGCGCGTGAATTTTTTCCACAGTTTGTTGCGATGCCTGATCGCCCTCCTCCATTGTTCCGTCATATAAGGCACCTGATTACCACGTATCATTGTTTGCTTGATAGGTGCGTGTTCATTGAGAACACTTAGAAACAATTGCTCAAAAAATAAAGCTTATCATCAAGTTCATCAAACAAATCAATTATGTGGAAAGGCACAATTTGCATATCATGCACAAAGTTCTCTCGACTGAAGTTTTTCAGACTACGAAAACAAATCTTGCGAGATCGAGTCCTTGGTGCTGATGATCGCAGGATAGTATAAACTAACGAATGATCACTAAGTTGCGTGTCTACCACGCCTGATGTTAAGACCTTTTTCTTGTCATTCGTCAGGATTAGGTCCAGCAGTGTTTCAGTTGTTTTTGTTGTGCGAGTTGGTTCCGTAATCAAACAATCAAGATTAAAAATATCTAGCAGATCTAGTAGAGCCCGACCGTCTCTGTGTTGTTTATCAGGAGCAAGAAGGTCCGCGTTTAAGTCTCCTGCTAGGAAAACCGTGTTTGTGAGCGAGGAAACTGCTTCGAAGAGAACAGAGAGTTCACTCGTCCACTGAGATCTCACAATCGAGGGAGGTCGGTAAATGCCCACAACAGTAATCCAAGTCTTCGGTAGTTTGACTTTCAAAACAATCGACTCCGTCTTAAAGGTTGACCATGTATCGGAAGAGAGCCCTTTGAGCTCTTTAACTCTAATAAAGCAGATATCACTCCTTACGAACACCATCAATCCACCTCCTCCAGCCTTTCTGTCACGACGACTCAAACGAAAACCTTCAACGTGAAACATAGAGTTAGGGAAAGTAGCAAATGTTCTTCCAAATTTGGTCGACATTAGCTGGTTATGATGAATTATGCGTGCGATTTTTGCCAAACAGAAACGGCGAAATATTTTGAATGAATAATAATATAAAATGCTGAATCATTACCAGCAGGAGCCGATTACTTATCGGCTCCTGTTACCAGTAAAGGGCCTGTGACACAGTTACATGGAGGTGGGGGACCCCAGGTAGGTGAGGTAACCCGCTTAGGTGGGGCAAAAAAATAACCCTCCTTTACATGCAATCTTACAACCACGTCACCCCGGGGTGCACTTTCTCAAGATTATTGAATGGTCGCTAAGCACGTAAATAAGAAATTTGCAGGAAACCCGGTGTTTTGGCGATTAATACTCTCCTACACTCACTTGCTGCTCTTGCTGCAACCTTCAGTGCTGTGGCTTTCTATTGCTACCTTCAATAATGATGCAAAGCCACCGTCAAAGTCAACATTGCGCGAATTTGATGTATCACGAATCGGACCCCGGCTAGGCGGGTTACCCCACCTTGAACGTTTACATGGCAAAATTGAAAGGGCTACCCGGTCTGGCAGACCGGGCTACCCGCCTTGGCGGGCACCCCACCTATCATGTAAACGTGATCAAGTTAAAATGAGAGATTATATGGACAGGCGGGTTACCTCACCTACCTGGGGTCCCCCACCTCCTTGTAAACAGGCCCTAATTCATTATGTTTCTAACGTCTCTAACGCAATCTACGCGTCCTTATGCGCAATGAAACTCGAGAAATTACCTGTGAATGACAATGACAATGAAAATGCTTCGTGTTAAACAAAATATTATGTAGCCCAAACATCATATCAATCGTTGCAAACAACGAAACTGAACTTTGAAAACCTGTTAGGTGAACAAGTTTTCAAAAACCACAATTGCAATCCGTTTCAATTTTCTTCAAGGTTGTCCAATCCAGCATCCCTTTGTGTGATTTGCTGTGCCATTTATTCTTTCCTCTAACTTTTTTGAGCGATTATTTCAAAGTTTCTCTTGATTTGGTGGAAGTTCCCACTGTTTGAATTTTGATTAATTTTGTGACTCAATCACTTTAAAATTTCACCTTTTCATTATAAAACAAAACTCAACGATATAAAAGAAACTTGACGTTTAGGAAATGCGAATGTGAACTGGGGGAATACATACCGCCTCCCCTTTCTGTGTACAACAGAAACAAAGTTACGAGTGTACATGTTCCAATTCATGTTCCTCCACAGACGAATAGCAACAAACGACTTGCTCTTTAAAATCGGCCTAAAACAAGCAGACTCCTGTTCTTTCTGCGGGGAATTTACTGAAACCCTTGCCCACTTGCTCTTGTATTGCAGTTACACTCAGAAATTCTGGAAAGACATTTATCAATGGATAACTCAAAACACCACCTTAAACAAATCCATTGCCTTCTCTCCTCTTATCTGTCTTGGACTAATTGATAATATCTCTGATTTATTACTACATCACCTTTTCCTTATCGCCAAACGATATATTTACACATGTAAGTTAAATAACTGTAACCCTGCGCTACAGGTTTATATACAAACCGTTATGAACTCCATGGAAATTGAAAAAGAGATTGCCTCTAATAATAACAATATGTCCTCCTTCAAAAACAAATGGAGCCCCCTTAAACTTTGCCCCTCGGACAAATAAACTTGCTGTTATTAAATAATTCCAAAAGTTCCAAAAGCTAAAAGTGATGCAGAAACAAATGCAAATGCAAATCACCTTTTAGTTGGTAGGACAGACTCTTTATGCTTTTGTTGTATCGTGTTTTATTTTGCAATTTTGCAAACAGTAGTCAGTTTTGTAAAATTTTTTTGTAACATTGTATTTTTCCTTTATCTCTTGTACGTTGTTGTTATTTTTTCTCCATGTAAATGTAAGTATTGTCATTAGAAGTGTTGTAACCAAATAAATGTTATTATTAAAAAAAAAAAAAAACTTGACGTTTCGATAGCTTCGTGTCATCATTATCAAAAGATAACAAATTAACATGATTGCGTGCAAAAAGTGCATGTAAAATTTAAGCGAGAAAATGAACAAGCATTAATTAAATAAACAGTTTGTCCGCTTGAGTGTTTAGCACGGTCCTTTTATCTCGTAACAATAACATCTCGAAAATCAGACACTCTAGTTTCCCTTTCTTGAGGATTTTAAGATGGAATCCATCAGGAAATTGAGTAATTTTAATTTTCAATGGAAAAAACCTTGTACAAGAATAGTTTGTATAATTAAAGAATATTGCATTCTCTTTTACATTTTTCATAGTAATTAGTTATCTGTAATAACACCAAAGAAAATTTCTTATGGGAGCCCAAGAAAATGAATGTCAAATTTCACAAAATTACATCTTACACATAAAATTTTTATAATTTTACCTGTATTTTCACTATTCTTGTGAAATTTGACATTCCTTTTCTCGGTCTCTGATGGGAAATTTTCTTTGGTATTATTACAGAATTTTTTTGTTTTTAATCTGTTGCCAGGTTTTTTTCATTATTATTCTTATAGATGTTTTACAACAGTTGCAAAAAAAAAATAGAATGAAGGAAGAATGGAGAAAAAATAAAATAAAAGTAAATACTGATACAATGTTATTACAGATGACTAATTACATCTTTTGAGCCCTTGAAAAATGTAAAAAGAATGCAGTTTTCTTTAAATTATTCTGGTACAAGGTATTTGTCCACTGAAAATTAAAATTTCTCAATTTCCTGGTGGATTCCGTCTTAAAGTTTTCACCAGGGTTTACCCGCTTCACTCCGTAACATTACAATGAGAAACCTTTCATTTACCCAATAGAAACAGAAGCATGTGTCATTACAAGTCCACTCGCCCTTGCCAGTTCGCCCTGGCTTGACCAATTGAATTTAAAGACATCCTTAGTAAAAGAAAGATTGCAACAACTGCGTTTACATCAGTAGGTTAAGGATGATCGTCCAGGTGAACGTAGTCCTGAATAGGAATCACTCACTGCCGCCATTGACAGTGCGGTAGTCATCTTCAGAGTCAGTGTTTAGAGTCAGAGTCAATCTTTAAAGTCAGTCGTCAGTCTTCTTTGACTCTGAAGATGGCTACCGCACAGGTTGTCGAAACGTCAGTCACAGTCAACAACAACAGTCCTATTCAGGACTCACCCTACTAATGAAATGACTCCTAGGTTCAAACCTTTCACAATTGCCTTGGAGTCAAGTCTCATGGCTAGATCATGTTAAGGCATCGTTTGTATAAGAAAGGAGCTCTGTAAAAGCGTAATGTAAAAGATGACGTACCTTTCAAATACTCGAAATAATTTATTTTCAGCCCATTTTTTTCTAGTATAACATATATTAAATGCAACTCCAGAATACTGATAACTGATTGTACAAATTATTAAGCTACACTATCTTTTACAGTCCGTCGGCCTCCAGCTACATATCATCCGGAGCCTACGCAAATTCAGAGTCACACCCTTCATCTCGTTATCACCCGTTCGTGCGTAAGGCCGAGTTTTAGGCCACCACGAACTCTTTGGCGCGCATTCCTCTCGCTTTCCCGCGAAAAGGTGAATCTGTTTCCACGCTCGACCATACACAACCCAAAATGGACCTGTTCATTACATGAGATTTCAAACAAAGGTCTAAATTTCACTCGAAGTTGAAATAGTGGAAGAAGAGCAAATTCAGAAAATAACGCACGTCTTTTCCAAAAAGTTAAACTTTATTTTATAATAGAGTAGTAAGAGCAAATTACAATTAAAAACGGATTAAATAAGTAAGCTTCTGGAGCTGGCTTTATTACACTGTAAAAGACGACAGTAAGCAAAGGGCGATTTCTGCCCGGGAAGGTTACTCGCTATGATGGCCGGCGCCTAAACGGGGAGGCTCCGCCCGAAACGGTTATATTTTTCTGGTTTCAGGAATATGAAAAGGTAGAAAATTCATGAATTAAGGTATATGAAATGGCAGGGAAACCTTTCATGTAAGTATTAACGGAAGCCTTTGATTAAAATATTTCGAACTTTTCACCTTGTGGAAATATCATTAGAATTCATTAAACTACTGTTGTTAGGCATATAACATATGAGCACAATTCTTTCATTGGAAGGCTTACAAACTAAGTACCTTATTTCGCCAGAGCAGAGTTGTTCAAAGCTGGGTTAAGGTAACCCAGGGTTAGTGCAAAATTTGAAATCAGATTTGAAAGCTTAAAAAGCATATTCACTTAAATTCTTTTTATCTACAATACGATAATTGGATGATCTTAAAAGAATAGAGAAAATTCTCCGAGAAAATGCTTCTGAAAAAAAGCAAAAAAAACCCGGATTAAAATTTAACCTCGGGTTAGCACTAATCGGCCTCCGAACAACTGGGCTCTGGGCCGAGTTGTTCAAAGCTGGGTTAAGATAACCCAGGGTTAGTTCGAAATTTGAATTCAGATATGAAAGCTTAAAAAGCAAATTGAGTTTAATTTTTTTTGTAAACAATTTGATGATTGGCTACTCTAAAAAGAATAGAGAAAATTGCCGGAGAAAAATGCTTTTGATGAAAGAAAAAGAGACCCAGGTTGAAATTTAACCCCGGGTTAGTGCTAATCAGCCTTCGAACAACTGGGCCCAGAAGTTTAGGCTTGGACCTCGGCGTGGAGCCCCCTCAAATAAAATATTGTTGATTTTCCCCTTCCCCCCACCCCACCCCGAAGATTTCTTAACTCCCTTCTGCTAATTTCAACTTATAACCTTTTTTTCTCTATTATTATTTGTCAGAAATATGGATATAAGAGGGTTCCATTCTTTTACAGTCAGGTATCCGGAGTATTGAAGGTACAAAGAAATACCAAGTCAAACGTCATGCACATATAAACCTATTTTGTATATTGTTTACGTTTGTTAAAAATAAAGGATCCGAACCGTTAGGGTGCTTCCAATTTACAGCCAGGAATTTAGCATCATCGGGTAAACCAGATTTTTGACTGATGAGCTGGAAGGGATTCCAACCGGTTGGGTCGACTCTCTCGTCCCGTTTGACTTTCCTTTCGAACTTATTTGCAGGGCTACTCTTGCAGTCTTTGCCTGGCATTAGTTTCTGAAACCAAATTAGTAAAAGGAATTTGTGGTTAAATTTTATTGTAGTCTACAAAGTGCTTCCTTCTTTCAAATTAAGATATCGACAGCAATTAATAAAGTTGATTACTATAATTATCATCGTTATCTTTATTATTATCATCTTCATCACTCTCCATGAGGTTCCATTTAGTTTTCTCCAACGAATACTCCACGTTCTTAGACATTATGAATGACAAAAGAAAAAGAAAAATAATAAATATAGCTATTAGAGCAATCCATTAGTACATCTTTGAAGTTTGAAATAGGAATTGGTATAGCCTTAATTGCCTATACGTAGCGAGATTTACTTTTATACATTCAAAAAGACAAATAAAGTTTCCATCATTATTACTAACATTCATCATCACTTACCTGGAAAACTACTTGATTAGGTGAGATGACTTTCAAGGCAAAGTTCGATCCATTGTATTTTATTTGAAAACAAACCACAAGAGGAGTCCCATTGCCCACTCTCAGCATGGTGAGTTCTTCAAAAACAAAAAGAAAGAAAGCTTAAAATTGGAGGATTTTTTTATTGTCTTTTCCAGGAATTTAAAAACCTGAAAATTCTTGTTGCGGTCAGTCATTTGCTTTTTTGTTTTGAAGCCAAATAGTAATGAGTAAAGAGACAGGGTTCTTGAAATTGCATGTAACGAAGGTTAGTTTTGCCGAAACGGTATGTTGGGAAAATAAATTATACCCATCGATAACTTTTCCGACCAGCCTTACCTTCCATTAAAAGTACATAATTTTTACATGAATCAGAAGCTACTTGCGGGAGTGAAATGAGACAGTCACCTAAAATTACATCCGTTTGCTGAACAAATACTCTGAGTATTTTCTCTAGGAAGCTTTCATTTTTGCCACATCCCTGGAAATTAAATGAAATGCGTACGATATATTTCTTGCTGATCCTTACAGATTTCAATATGCATTCGTTATCTATGGTATGTGTAGTTTTTGCCTCTGGCCCGTTGCGATGCTATACATGTACCTGATAACTGAAGCAGGGTTATGGACAACCCCAATATTTTTTAGCCTAGTTTATGGTAATGTGCATAATGTTTTCAGTTGAGAAATTTTATAGAATATCAAGAACTTGATAAGATGATGAGGATATAACTCCAAGCCTATCAGTTTTGTAATGTTACCCTCTCTCGCTTTCTTCCTAACTTCCAAGAGTAAATTAGAATTGATGATGAGTACCAAAAGAGTTGGCCAGTGTTGAAATCAGTCTCTTTAAACATGATAGAACACAATTGTTGTCTAATTTTAGCTCCTAACTTTTGTGGTGAACTTATCAAAACCTAATAATAATTATTCCACAAAAATGGATACATCTACATTATGCAGCCCAACTTGATCAAGCTGTTTAATAAACTTGCAGTTTCGTATTTTATCACTGCTGGTTTTAACTTACTCGACCGCGTCTCGCGTTCGGATCAGGATAGAAAACTCTATTTACTTTTAAAATAATGGTAACAGCTCTAGAATTCGCTGTCTCACTTACTGGTGTTAGGTGAATTGTAATGTCCGTTGCCAGACGCCATACACGTGGTCTGATTCTGATTACAACTGTGAATTCTGACGAGGTAGCCGCTCGTATGTGGCGGAGTGGTCGGTTTCCCAGGTGACTCAAGAGGGCACTGATAACCTTCCGTTAAGCTGAGTTTACTGCTAACGGCCACAGTAAGGATCTAATATAGAAGAAAATAAATCCTCAAACTTATCAATGGATGTAAATAGGACATCTCTACCATGAAGAAATACTTCAGAATAAATAAACCTAAGACATCGGGATCTTGATAAGCTAAAAGAAGAGGGAAATTTAACTTTGAAATTTCTCTAAGAGTGCTTTGGTTTCTTCATTTTCTCAGTTTTGTGTTAGAGAAAAATTCAGGTGCAAGCGTCGGACCGGATCAACTGCGAACGCAAGTCAGCTGGTCTGGGTCGGGTCAAATCGAATTAACCAGTTCAACAGGTTAACAAGTAAAAATCCAGATGGTACAGATGTATACTAATCAGGAGGAGGGGGGTGGGGGGAGAGACGAGAAGCAAGAGGTGAACGGGCAGAGGAAATCCGAAATGCTTAAAAAAAAAATAATATCAGGCATCTTTGTTTTTCTTCAATATCGTATTTGTCTTTCGGTACTGAAATTGCGGGGGAAACCATGCTAGATCTTAACCAACAACAATGCTCTAGATCAATTTATAGGTTACATCGTTTTTGCCGGGTAAGAATAACTTGATGCTGATAAAAATTACTGGAGAAAGTGTCAAATTCATCGGAAGCAACTATATTCAGAGAGCTTTATAAATATGAGCTTACAGTTCTACAATCATAACTTAACATTCACACTTCATAACATTTCACTTCGTTCATTACGATCAGTCAACACCTTGAATCCAAAGTTAACATTCAAAACGATCCTAATAAACAAATCACAACTACTACTGAAAGCTCTGTACCTTGAAGCGACTTTAACTTTCCTAAGGTTTGCAGCAAAACGCTGCTCGATAGCTCAACTCTTCGGCGGTTCTTATCAGCTGTACGGAGCTATATGTTGCATATTCCAAACTTGTTTAACAGAAAAAGAAAACCACACACTATGTCTGAAAAGCGACAGGAAATCAATAAATTTGCGAATTACCAAAATGTAATAGTGAGAAACAGTCCCGCCTTCGACCGCATGTTTTTGTTTCTTTTAAAGACCGTGGGTCTATGGATTTTGACGTAATGCGCATGATCAGTACACAAATCCGCTGCCAAGACACTTGCTGATCGCTTTGCAAGTTGTGAGAACATCGTTTGGATTTCATTTAAGAGAATGTACTGATACTAATACTGTCTTTCTTATTCTACAGAGCAAGGCAAAATCTCCAACCAGTTTAAACGATACCGTCTAAAGTCCTTTAAAAACTATCGATGGCAAACAATCAAATTCTTAGTAATTCTTCCCTTCTGTACCTGTAAATAAAAAAGGGAACTTTGAATCTTAAAAGTAAGAACGCTATTGTATTTAGACTGCTCACAGTCCCTTATTTTTCCGTGAGATCGTCGAGATATAGCATGAACAGTCTATATTGTTCTCATAATTAAAAAACGTAGGGAGAGGTTGTTTAGTTTTAAAAAGAAGTGTACGGAAAATTGCACAAAAGCCTTGTCCTTTTATAGGGTGGAGTTTCTTGTTATCGTGACTCGACTGAATATAAAACACTAATTAAAACCATTTTTCCTAAACTCCCTCTATTTTGAGGCAAAAAATTCTGACTTTTGAAATAAACTGATGATTTCTGTATCCAGGGGGACGGAAGGGGTTTTTTTTCTGTTGGTGCAAAAGAATGAAGTGATTAAAAGGTAATTAAGAGACCAATAGTGCTACACGATTACGTTTGGAATTAAAACTGAATATCGTAAATTACTACTTGTATTTGGCCACCAATGAATTGGAAGAAAAATGGTGCATTGTTCCATTTCTCGCATGGTATAGTCTCCAGGGACTTCATATTGTCACCTCGTTTCCTTTACGCTCGTAGTATCTTGCTGTGCCGCGTTTATTTTGGCCCTATTTGTGGCCGATTCGTTGTTTTTCAAAACGAATTCATTGTACCCAATCAGAATGCCGGATACGCTTTATCTTGCCCACTCACCCATTTACCCATATAATAAAAATGTATACTCACTGCGAAAAGAGATCTCACGTCCATCACGTCAATTTGATCAGATGTAATTATAAGTTGTCTTGAACAGGATCAGTTTATATCAAGACCCATTATGGCTCTCGTTTATATACACTAAAGTCGTGAGCCTAGAGGGTCACCCGTTGTATAACATGTTGCGAGAGGTTAAGAATACCAGGTATTATCTCAGAGAAAAGTCAGCCGTGGATCCTAAAGTAAATGGGTTCTGGCCTAAGGGTTAAAACATTGCTAATTTCTCCGCCCCACGGGCCAAGTAGTTTGTTATAATCTTGTGCTTTATATGACCCAAATGGACTGAAATTCAGCCCTCCACTCCATCAAGCGAATATGGGATTTTTGTCTTTACTTCAGGGGCACGCAACGACCATTTTCGGAAAATATCTGTTCGGAAGACGATTTGATATCTAGAATTCTCGGAACATTTTTTGTAAAATTTCTTGCTTGCCTGCCTCGCCTAGGATTTTCGAACATCTAAAAAATGGTATAATTGCCTATTTTTAACGGATTTTTACCCTAAAAAGGTCACCTAGAATTTTCGGGAGCCTTCCCCGCCCCACGGGCCAAGTAGTTTGTTATAATCTTGTGCTTTATATGACCCAAATGGACTGAAATTCAGCACTCCATGCCATCAAGCGAATGTGGAATTTTTGTCTTTACAATCTGAAACAACGGCCAACGACAAACGTTAAAACTGAAAATGTACGAAAAAATCATCAGATGAGTGATAACTCTGTGACAGTCCCTCTAAAATGTATCTATTCAAAATCAAGACACTAACGTTTTTACGGCTTAAGCCAATGATGGAGTCATGTAACTTTGTTACAACTTTTGAGTAAAATTGTGACTGTTCGAATGAAAACACCTTAGTTTGCAAACGTTTAATTGCAAATTAACACCATTTATACATTATTATAATAGTACCTTAAGAATTTGGCCTGAATTTTAGACTTGTTAAATTGCTATGTTTGGCATCCTGCTTTTGATAGCATGAACTAGTTTGACTGCAAAACGGTTTTTACAGCGAGGCTGTCAGAAAAATACGTAATCTGGATGTAGGTTCAGGTAAATTCAGTCCAAATGAGACACTTCTTATAAAAGGTTTTAAATGTTATTTACCACTATTTTGTATTTACTACTTGTTTTAAACTTTTGAAATCCACTGAGAGAAACTGTTTGAAAAAAGTAACAGTGGAAGAAGCTTTATCTATAGTACTATATACCAAGTGCAGAAAGATATCTCAAGTCCTCATTTTCATCATTTTGTTAAGCAGGGTTGATATACACCAAAGCAGGAGCCAAGCTCCTGATTAAAGTTATTACCTAGAGGGTCACCCGTTGTATAACATGTTGCCGGGGGAGACTTTGCTTTGCTCATTCTTAAAATAAACAAGGAATTGAAACAATCTTTGGAATCCAAAAACCGGGATCACATCAAGAAGCTGGGAAGAAGTTATTTTCAGCTACCTTTTACTGAAGTTTAATTTGCAGACCACACAGAGACACCTATATATTTTAATAATTGCTCCGTTACCTTTAGCCACTCATTGTCTGAAAATTAATGACAGGATGTTCAAACTATCTAGTTAAGTTACTGGTTTAACTCCAATATTTTCCGCTAAGAAACCAATTTGAGATTGGGAGATTTAAAATTTGTTATAAATTGATTCATAATTAAATCGACTTTTTTGTGTGTCCTTTGCTTCATAAGTTTGTAAAGGTAGGTTTCTCTAATAGCGTCGTGTTTTCAATGATCGAGGTCCCGGAAATGTACACGAAGCGTGGTAACTTTGCAATATTACGGACAATTTTGCAAATAAAGAAAACTAAGAATTCACTGCTATCACAGCAATTATTTTATAAAAATATGAAAATCAACTAGGACTCTTACAGTGCAACTACTGTAACCGGGGCACTTAGAGAAAGTTTACCAACTGGATTACAGGGGAAAATAAATTGATTCCAAGAAAGTTGGTGGTCGGCCAATCAGCAGCTCGTAAAAAAACAATAAGTTAATCGAAGCACAAAATGTAATATTGATAGCAAACGTCTTTCACGAAAACAAAATGTTTCACCACAACGTTTTTCTTTTCTTTGACAAAAGCTCTTATTTTGTCATCTACCGGCAATTTCTTCGCTCGTATGACGGTTTTCAGACTCAGTTAACACCAGGAAAACGCTTGTTCTACTGGTGTTAACCGGACCGTTAACGCACGGTTAATACATGCAAAACACACGGAAAACATACGGTTAACACATGAGGAACGGATTGTATTCCGTTGTTCACCGCCGTTTTCCAGTGACTTAACATCGCGTTTTTTGGTGTTTTCTGGTGTTTTCAAGTGGCAAAACAAAGAATTCACAGACGTTTTCCGTCATTCTGCGCGAGTTTTGTAGGGTTTTCTGGGGCAGCGAACTACTAGAAAATGCCAGGAAACAGCATGTTCCCCAACGTTCACCCATCGGTTAATGAGATGTTTTGCATCGTTTCAAAACTTTTTTCTCCCGGAAAACGCGCCGTTTTCAGTATCGCCGAATGCGCTTATTTTCGCGCATCTTCTACGCTTCCAGTGTGATCTTATGCGGGAATGTAACTTAGTCCTTTATTCACTGGTGTTTTCGTTCAAAATTTAACATTCCTTGTTGCAGTTTTGTTTTTCCCGGCACCCGCCATAGGTGCTTTAAACGACAAATAAATACTTCGATTGCCTCCCCGATATCCCTCAATGGAAACAAGTAATGAAACGCTCTCAATGTACTTCTGAACTCTTTATTATCAGCAACTCAACTCATCGTCTGCAGTACAGAATGCCTCTAATTGATTATGACCACTCCACAGCAAACTAAAACTACCATTTATAAAAATGCATTCAATCGCAGATAAGATATTTACAAAATTCTATGCTATCAAATGAATATGGTCAGTACAATTCAGAAAACTCTTGACAATATATCTACTGATAACCAACTGACCCAAATAAGAACACTCGGGAGATATCGATGCTAACTTATGACACGAGTAAGGCATGTACAGATTAATTTCAGTCGACATTCCACTTACATACAAATTGTTTTCTGTAGTAAAGTTTCTATTTATACTCAAAATTCTATTCAATACGAGCACATATTGACTTTAATACAATACTGTTTCCAAGGTCAAAATGAAGTTGATCCACTCTCCAAGTGTGCTCTTATTGAGTGGAATTTTGAGTGTATTTCCTTTAAGGATAAGCACTCTCTCGGTTTGCTGGTGAAAATCACCTGGAATATATTTAATTGGTAATATCCAACTAGTGGTCTATTATCAATGTCACATTCTGATTGACTGAGCTACTACTAGGCCCACTACAGCTGTAGTAGCGAAAAGCGCCGGCTTTGAAAACCAAAACAATGGCGGCTGAACCGTGTTTTTGCTAGCTAAAGTTGTTTTGTTTCGATATTTTGGACCAACTAGTTGGATTTTACTAAAACAATAAATTATTCCTCTCGCCCTCATGTCCTCTGAGTCAATAGCCCATTCGGGCTTGAGGAATAATTGTTAAATATATGTCGACCAGTGGAAGCCCAAATGACAATAGCACACTGTTAAAGAAATTTCAAGTGTCATATTTGTTCTGAAATAAATCTTGAAACAAGGTTTTCCCTGATCTACTTTTAAAAATGTATTGAAGCTCCACTGTTATCAAGCATTGAAAAATGAAAAGAACTACAATTTAATGGCCCAGAGCAATGACTCAGGAACTTCATTATGGCCTCTTGAACTTGGAGGACCAACCCTTCTGTTAACAGATTGCCTTTTTTGAGAGATTTCATGTGAGGAAAACTCGGAGCCATTGAACAAAATATTTAAATTGAAACCGGCGCGATTCATTGACATGATTTTGGTTTGCTGTGTTTAAACAAGTCAAGCGTGACACAAGGCGTGTGCTGAAATTTCCGTTTTGGCGGTGGAGGTCTTGCACTTGTACCTTCTTCAGCGGGTCGTTTCTTTTCAGAACTATCGTCTTTGCCTTTTTTCTTTTTTACCGCCATTGAAAAATCCTCTTATATCCATTATGGAATTTTGAGAAAAACAAAAGAATTTGCATCTGAAACAGCTTGACACATAGTCATTGTGGAAATCCGACTTCCCATGGGTTATTCACCGGGATGGGAAAAAAATTTAAAAATAAAAATAAAAATTACAAAATTGACCAAGCCAACATCAACGCTTGGCTAGGAAAAAAACTTTTGGGGCTAGTAACATCTAACTTGTCACTAGCCACTAGACTAGTAAGTTGAAAAGTTAGTGTCGAGCCCTGACAACACACAAAAAATTACCAATCTGCAAAAACAAACTCCCACAAAAAATTTGTGCCACACGGTACGGCAAGTTTTAGCCTATCTTCCAGAGCTGTTCTCTTGTCCCTTCCAAGAAAGTTAGGTAGTTGTATTCCGAATTCCGAATTTCACTATTCCAGATTCCACGCTGTATACGTAGCTTACTAACAAATCCTCGACTTGCATTCAATTTCGAGATCAATTCGTTACAATACATGCTAAAAGAAGTTAAAATAGATCTTACCCTAATTGTCTTGAAACCGTCAGTTAAGAACTGGTGCTCCTTTTCCTCTTTCTAGACGCTTCTTCGGTCGAAAACTTTTCACACAGTTCGTCTACAGCTTAACGGTAAGTCTGTTGACGTCCTCTTCTTTCTTCGTTCTCTCGGCCACTTGCGCCCTCAAAACCTTGCTTCCCTTAATCGTGGCTTGTAATAACAAGAAGTAACGGTCAGAAAGAGCGATTCCTTGGCCACGATCGACCGCGGACATGGCAGCAAAACAACAAAAACTCGAAATTCCCGCCGCCTTCTACGAAATGTGGCAAAATTTTCTCACACGAAAGAAACGCGGACTTTGAGGTCATGTGATCTTGTTCTTTTGCGTCACTCGTGATGTCGAGGCTATCGAGCCCGGTTACCAGGGAAACAGAAATGGTCTGTTCCATTGCGTTTTCTCTAGCTTCGCGGACTCAAGGCAGAGATAAGAAGAAGCCTCCGCATGCATTTTGCATGCCTTGAGTTTGTTTTAAAAACAACGACGATTACGACAGACCTCGAATAAGTCTTATCGTATTCAGAATTTACTGAACTGAGTTTACTGAGAAGTCAATTTCCGTTGTAATATTCACAGACACCGGTTTCTTGGCAAAGTTGTTGCTGGTAAGATAATCAAAATAAAGCTGAGGGAATTCTTGGCAGGTAATGTTTGGACCCAAATAAAACACGGCGGTCAAAGGCCTGTTTACACGTTGCTGATAACGATGGTAAAATAAGTTTCAAAACGCACTGTTGAATCGCGTTTGCCAGGTGCTAGAAAACGTGAAATGAACGGCATGTTTTCCTGGTGTTACCGCCGGTGAATGTTGAGTTTTCCCGGGAGTTTTCCTTGTGTTACCCGAAGTCGAAAAGGATTCAGGAACGTGATATTTCCACGACATTAACCGTTTGGTAAAATTTCTGGTTAACGAGAGAAAACGAGCTGTTCAACCCCGTTTTCCATGTGCTGGATAATGTGACATGAACAGCATATTTTTCCTCTGTTAAGTGATGGTGAATGCCAAGTTGTCCTTGTCTTTTCCGAAGAGGAAAAACGAGTCACGAACGCGATATTTTCCTTACATTAACCGTTTGGTAAAATGTCCGCTTAACGAGAGAAAACGCACTGTTCAACCACGTTTTCCGTGTGCTGGAAAACGTGAAGTAAACAGCATATTTTCCTGGTGTTAACGGATTGTGAACGCTGAGTTTTCCTTGCGAATTCCGAAATGAGAAAACGGATCGTGAGCGTGGCATTTTCGATACATTAACCGTTTGGTAAAATCACCAGGAAATAGGAGATTTTTTCCCGTGGTCGTTCCCATGCGAAAACACATTTCAGATATGGGTTTCACTAGGACGAAACTCCTTTTCCTACTTGGACCTCACTAGAATTTACAAAAACAAACTCAAAATCAGTTTTAGGGCTCAGTATTTTCTACGAAGTCCTCAAAACAAAATTAAACAAATGGAAATCAAACAACCACTCCATTTATCTTGATGAGAAGTGTCAATTAAGAAGCCATACTATGTTTGTATAGTCTAAAAAGTCTTCATTTTTTTCTGGAACTTCACCAAACAGCTTCTCTTGATAAATTTTGCATAAAAAAAGTAGTGTCCCCATATAGTACTTTCGTGCTAAATACATTGACGCTCAAATAAAGTGCATTTTTCTGTTTTGTTTTCACCATGCAAATAATATAAAAACGTGACAGATAGTCTCATTGTTTTCTAACCCTAAAAGACAATAGGCCTCAGTCAGTCTGCAGTCTGCATTAACGAGGCTGAGTATCATCAGAAGAATTATGGAGATCGAGGACGGTGTTATCCGCCGAGTACGGCCTCGGCGGAAAACATCCTTCGAGATCTCCATAATTTTTCAGATGATACGAAAGCTGAATTCAATAATTGTTTTATTATTCATTCAAAACAATTCCTAGTTCAAAAACAAACTCAACAATGCTTAATAATTGTTTTATTATTCATTCAAAACAATTCCTAGTTCAAAAACAAACTCAACAATGCTTACCTCAGTCGATGTTAAGTTTATCTCAGTAGGGCATGTTTATCGGGAAGTTTAGAGGATAAAGGGTTGGTTGTACAGGTCTGCAAATATACTCCAAATAGCAGATCTCGTACGTCGAGTTGTCTTCTTGCTATTCTTGTTATGTTTTTAGACAAAAGGTGCCCGTAAAAGGAGTAAAATTCATGCTCTGCCAAATTGTACTCACTACCAAAACAACTCAAACTCGTCCCAGGTCTTCTTGGTTAACGGTTCAATATATCTGTTAATTTCAGTGCTGCACGATTGACGTCATCAGTTCAATATCGCCATGTTCTTCCAAATTTGGTCGACATTAGCTGGTTATGATGAATTATGCGTGCGATTTTTGCCAAACAGAAACGGCGAAATATTTTGAATGAATAATAATATAAAATGTTGAATCATTACCAGCAGGAGCCGATTACTTATCGGCTCCTGTTACCAGTAAAGGGCCTGTGTCACGGTTACATGGAGGTGGGGGACCCCAGGTAGGTGAGGTAACCCGCTTAGGTGGGGAAAAAAAATAACCCTCCTTTACATGCAATCTTACAACCACGTCACCCCGGGGTGCACTTTCTCAAGATTATTGAATGGTCGCTAAGCACGTAAATAAGAAATTTGCAGGAAACCCGGTGTTTTGGCGATTAATACTCTCCTACACTCACTTGCTGCTCTTGCTGCAACCTTCAGTGCTGTGGCTTTCTATTGCTACCTTTAATAATGATGCAAAGCCACCGTCAAAGTCAACATTGCGCGAATTTGATGTATCACGAATCGGACCCCGGCTAGGCGGGTTACACCACCTTGAACGTTTACATGGCAAAATTGACCCCGGCTGAAAGGGCTACCCGGTCTGGCAGACCGGGCTACCCGCCTTGGCGGGCACCCCACCTATCACGTAAACGTGATCAAATCAAAATGAGAGATTATATGGACAGGCGGGTTACCTCACCTACCTGGGGTCCCCCATCTCCATGTAAACAGGCCCTAATTCATTATGTTTCTAACGTCTCTAACGCCATCTACGCGTCCTTATTCGCTATGAAACTCGAGAAATTACCTGTGAATGACAATGAAAATGAAAATGCTTCGTGTTAAACAAAATATTATGTAGCCCAAACGTCATATCAATCGTTGCAAACAACGAAACTGAACTTTGAAAACCTGTTAGGTGCACAAGTTTTCAAAAACCACAATTGCAATCCGTTTCAATTTTCTTCAAGGTTGTCCAATCCAGCATCCCTTTCTGTGATTTGCTGTGCTATTTATTCTTTCTTCTAACTTTTTTGAGCGATTATTTCAATGTTTCTCTTGATTTGGTGGAAGTTCCCACTGTTTGAATTTTGATTAATTTTGTGACTCAATCACTTTAAAATTTCACCTTTTCATTATAAAACAAAACTCAACGATATAAAAGAAACTTGACGTTTAGGAAATGCGAATGTGAACTGGGGGAATACATACCGCCTCCCCTTTCTGTGTACAACAGAAACAAAGTTACGAGTGTTCCAATTCATGTTCCTCCACAGACGAATAGCAACAAACGACTTCCTCTTTAAAATCGGCCTAAAACAAGCAGACTCCTGTTCTTTCTGCGGGGAATTTACTGAAACCCTTGCCCACTTGTTCTGGTATTGCAGTTACACTCAGAAATTCTGGAAAGACATTTATCAATGGATAACTCAAAACACCACCTTAAACAAATCCATTGCCTTCTCTCCTCTTATCTGTCTTGGACTAATTGATAATATCTCTGATTTATTACTACATCATCTTTTCCTTATCGCCAAACGATATATTTACACATGTAAGTTAAATAACTGCAACCCTGCGCTACAGGTTTATGTATACAAACCGTTATGAACTCCATGGAAATTGAAAAAGAGATTGCCTCTAATAAAAACAATAAATCCTCCTTCAAAAACAAATGGAGCCCTCTTAAACTTTGCCCCTCGGACAAACAAACTTGCTGCTATTAAATAATTCCAAAAGTTCCAAAAGTTAAAAGTGATGCAGAAACAAATGCAAATGCAAATCACCTTTTAGTTGGTAGGACAGACTCTTTATGTTTTTGTTGTATCGTGTTTTATTTTGCAATTTTGCAAACAGTAGTCAGTTTTGTAAAAAATTTTTTAGGCTTAATTAGTTGCAAATGCTGTAACATTGTATTTTTCCTTTATCTCTTGTACGTTGTTGTTATTTTTTCTCCATGTAAATGTAAGTATTGTCATTAGAAGTGTTGTAACCAAACAAATGTTATTATTAAAAAAAAAAAAAACTTGACGTTTCGATAGCTTCGTGTCATCATTATCAAAAGATAACAAATTAATATGATTGCGTGCAAAAAGTGCATGTAAACATTAATTAAATAAACAGTTTTTGACTGTTTAGCACGGTCCTTTTATCTCGTAAGAATAACATCTCGAAAATCAGACACTCTAGTTTCCCTTTCTTGAGGATTTTAAGATGGAATCCATCAGGAAATTGAGTAATTTTAATTTTCAGTGGAAAAAAAACCTTGTACAACAATAGTTTGTATAATTAAAGAATATTGCATTCTCTTTTACATTTTTCATAGTAATTAGTTATCTGTAATAACACCAAAGAAAATTTCTTATGGGAGCCCGAGAAAATGAATGTCAAATTTCACAAAATAACATCTTACACATGAAATTTTCAGAATTTTACCTGTATTTTCACTATTCTTGTGAAATTTGACATTCCTTTTCTCGGACTCTGATGGGAAATTTTCTTTGGTATTATTACAGAATTTTTTTGTTTTTAATCTGTTGCCAGGTTTTTTTCATTATTATTCTTATAGATGTTTTACAACAGTTGCAAAAAAATAAAATAGAATGAAGAAAGAATGGACAAAAAATAAAATAAAAGTAAATACTGATACAATGTTATTACAGATGACAAATTACATCTTTTGAGCCCTTGAAAAATGAAAAAGAATGCAATTTTCTTTAAATTATTCTGGTACAAGGTTTTTGTCCACTGAAAATTAAAATTTCTCAATTTCCTGGTGGATTCCGTCTTAAAGTTTTCACCAGGGTTTAACCGCTTCACTCCGTAACATTGCAATGAGAAACTTTTCTATTTACCCAATAGAAACAGAAGCATGTGTCATTACAAGTCCACTCGCCCTTACCAGTTCTCTCTGGCTTGACTAATTGAATTTAAAGACATCTTAGTAAAAGAAAGATTGCAACAATTGCGTTTAGATCAGTAGGTTGAGGATGATCGTCCGGGTGAACGTAGTCCTGAATAGGACTCGCTCACTGCCGTCATTGACAGTGCGGTAGTCATCTTCAGAGTCAGTGTTTAGAGTCAGAGTCAATCTTTGAAGCCAGTCGTCAGTCTTCTTTGACTCTGAAAATGACTACCGCACAGGTTGTCGAAACGTCAGTCACAGTCAACAAGAACACTCCTATTCAGGACTCACCCTACTAATGAAATGCCTCCTAGGTTCAAACCTTTCACAATTGCCTTGGAGTTAAGTCTCATGGCTAGATCATGTTAAGGCATCGTTTGTATAAGAAAGGAGCTCTGTAAAAGCGTAATGTAAAAGATGACGTACCTTTCAAATACTCGAAATAATTTATTTTCAGCCCATTTTTTTCTAGTATAACATACATTAAATGCAACTCCAGAATACTGATAATTGATAGTACAAATTATTAAGCTACACGATCTTGACTCAGTCAAACGGCTAGATCCGTTATAGTCTGTCGGCCTCCAGCTACATATCACCCGGAGCCTACGCAAATTCAGAGTCACACCATTGATCTCGTTATCACCCGTTCGTGCGTAAGGCCGAGGTTTAGGCCACCACGAACTCTTTGGCGTGCATTCCTCTCGCTTTCCCGCAAAAAGGTGAATTTGTTTCCACGCTCGACCATACACAGCCCAAAATGGACCTGTTCATTACATGAGATCTCAAACAAAGGTCTAAATTTTACTCGAAGTTGAAATAGTGGAAGAAGAGCAAATTCAGAAAATAACGCACTTCTTTTCCAATAAGTTAAACTTTATTTTATAATAGAGTAGTAAGAGCAAATTACAATTAAAAACGGATTAAATAAGTAAGCTTCTGGAGCTGGCTTTATTACACTGTAAAAGACGACACTAAACAGTAAGCAAAGAGCGATTTCTGCCCGGGAAGGTTACTCGCTATGATGGCCGGCGCCTATACGGGGAGGCTCCGCCCGAAACGGTTATATTTTTCTGGTTTCAGGAACATGAAAAGGTAGAAAATTCATGAATTAAGGTATATGAAATGGCAGGGAAACCTTTCATGTAGGTATTAAGGGAAGCCTTTGATTAAAATATTTCGAACTTTGCACCTTGTGGCCATATCATTAGAATTCATTAAACTATTGTAGTTAGGCATATGACATATGAGCACAGTTCTTTCATTGGAAGGCTTACAAACTAAGTACCTTATTCGGCTAGGGCCGAGTTGTTCAAAGCTGGGTTAAGGTAATCCAGGGTTAGTGCAAAAATTTGAAATCAGATTTGAAAGCTTAAAAAGCATATTCACTTAAATTCTTTTTATCTACAATATGATGATTGGATGATCTTAAAAGAATAGAGAAAGTTCTCCGAGAAAATGCTTCTGAAAAAAAGGAAATGAAAGCCGGATTAAAATTTAACCTCGGGTTAGCGCTAATCGGCCTCCGAACAACTGGGCCCTGGGCTGAGTTGTTCAAAGCTGGGTTAAGATAACCCAGGGTTAAAAAGAAATTTGAATTCAGATATGAAAGCTTAAAAAGCAAATTGAGTTTAATTCTTTTTGTAAACAATTTAATGATTGGCTACTCTAAAAAGAATAGAGAAAATTGTCGGAGAAAAATGCTTTGATGAAAAGAAAAAGAGACCCGGGTTGAAATTTAACCCCGGGTTAGTGCTAATCAGCCTTCGAACAACTGGGCTCAGAGTTTAGGCTTGGACCACGGCGTGGAGCCCCCTCAAATAAAACATTGTTGATTTTCCCCTTCCCCTCACCCCACCCCGAAGATTTCTTAACTCCCTTCTGCTAATTTCAACTTATAACCTTTTTTTCTCTATTATTATTTGTCAGAAATATGGATATCAGAGGGTTCCATTCTTTTACAGTCAGGTATCCGGAGTATTGAAGGTACAAAGAAATACCAAGTCAAACATCATACACATATAAACCTGTTTTGTGTATTATTTTCATTTGTCAAAAATAAAGGATCCGAACCGTTAGGGTGGTTCCAATTTACAGCCAGGAATTTAGCATCATCGGGTAAACCAGGTTTTTGACTGATGAGCTGGAAGGGATTCCAATCTGGGTCGACCTTCTCGTCCCATTTGACTTTCCTTTCGAACTTATTTGCAGGGCTAATCGTGCAGTCTTTGCCTGGCATTAGTTTCTGAAACCAAATTAGTAAAAGGAATTTGTGGTTAAATTTTATTGTAGTCTACAAAGTGCTTCCTTCTTTCAAATTAAGATATCGACAGCAATTAATAAAGTTGATTGCTATAATTATCATCATTCTCTTTATTATTATCATCATCATCACTCTCCATGAGGTTCCATTTAGTTTTCTCCAACGAATACTCCACTTTCTTAGACATTATGAATGACAAAAGAAAAAGTAAACTAATAAATATAGCTATTAGAGCAACCCATTAGTACATCTTTGAAGTTTGAAATAGGAATTGGTATAGTCTTAATTACCTATACGTAGCGAGATTTACTTTTATACATTCAAAAAGACAAATAAAGTTTCCATCATTATTACTACCATTCATGATCACTTACCTGGAAAACTACTTGATTAGGTGAGATGACTTTCAAAGCAAAGTTCGATCCATTGTATTTTATTTGAAAACAAACCACAAGAGGAGTCCCTTTGCCCACTATCAGGCGGGCGAGTTCTGCAAAAACAAAAAGAAAGAAAGCTTAAAATTGGATGATTTTTTCATTGTCTTTTCCAGGAATTTAAAAACCTGAAAATTCTTGTTGTGGTCAGTCATTTCCTTTTTTTGTTTTGAAGCCAAATAGTAATGAGTAAAGAGACAGGGTTCTTGAAATTGCATGTACATGTAACGAAGGTTAGTTTTGCCGAAACGGAATATTGCGAAAATAAATTATACCCATCGATAACTTTTCCGATCAGCCTTACCTTCCATTAAAAGTACATAATTTTTACATTAATCAGAAGCTACTTGCGGGAATGAAATGAGACAGTCACCTAAAATTACATCAGTTTGCTGAACAAATACTCTGAGTATTTTCTCTAGGAAGCTTTCATTTTTGCCACATCTCCGGAAATTAAATGAAATGCGTACGATATATTTCTTGCTGATCCTTATAGATTTCAATACCCATTTGTTATCTATGGTGTGTAGTTTTTGCCTCTGGCCCGTTGCGATGCTATACATGTACCTGATAACTGAAGCAGGGTTATGGACAACCCCAATATTTTTTAGCCTAGTTTATGGTAATGTGCATAATGTTTTTAGTTGAGAAATTTTATAGAATATCAAGAACTTGATAAGATGATTAGGATATAACTCCAAGCCTATCAGTTCTGTAATGTTACCCTCTCTCGCTTTCTTCCTAACTTCCAAGAGTAAATTAGAATTGATGATGAGTACCAAAAGAGTTGGTCAGTGTTGATATCAGTCTCTTTAAACATGATAGAACACAACTGTTGTCTAATTTTAGCTCCTAACTTTTGTGGTGAACTAACCAAACCTAATAATAACTATTCCACAAAAATGGATACATCTACATCATGTAGCCCAACTTGATCAACCTGTTTAATAAACTTGCAGTTTCGTATTTTATCACTGCTGGTGATCAGGATAAAACACTCCATTTACTTTTAAAATAATGGTAACAGGTCTAGAATTCGCTGTCTCACTTACTGGTGTTAGGTGAATTGTAATGTCCGTTGCCAGACGCCATACACGTGGTCTGATTCTGATTACAACTGTGAATTCTGACGCGGTTGCCGCTCGTATGTGGCGGAGTGGTCGGTTTCCCAGGTGACTCAAGGTGCCAACGATAATCTTTCGTTAAGCTGAGTTTACTGCTAACGGCCACAACAAGGATCTAATATAGAAGAAAATAAATCCTCAAACTTATCAATGGATGTAAATAGGACATCTCTACCATGAAGAAATACTTCAGAATAAATAAACCTAAGACATGGGGATCTTGATAACCTAAAAGAAGTGGGAAATTTAACTTTGAAATTTCTCTAAGATTGTTTTGGTTTCTTCATTTTCTCAGTTTTGTGTTAGAGAAAAATTCAGGTACAAGCGTCGGACCGGATCAACTCCGAATGCAAGTCAGCTGGTCTGGCTTGGGTCAAATCGAATCAACCAGTTCAACAGGTTAAGAAGTAAAAATCCAGATGGTACAGATGTATTTTTTTTTTTTTTTTTTTTTTTTTTTTTTGACAGATGTATACTAATACTGTCTTTCTTATTCCACAAACCAACGCAAAACCTTAAACGACGCCGTCTAAAGTCCTTTAAAAACCATCGATGTTCTTCCTTTCTGTACCTTATAAGATTTTAAGAAGCGATCCACCTAACGGTGAAGGTGGTGGGATTGCAGTGTTTGTCAAAGGATCTCTCTCCATAATTCGGAGGGTTGATATGGAACAACTGTTTCCTGGAGAATGCATTTTGCTCGAGATTCTTCTGCCCAAA